TATTGGATTTTTAATTAACATATTTTTTAATTAATTGAAACCGGATTATATACAGAGTGCCAATGTGCAGGTTCACCCACACTTTCAAATATAATTAAAAAAAAATAGTAGCTTCTAAATAAAATAGATTTTTAAAATAGTGCAGATTGATAGTTAGAACTATGATACAATAAATGTTTAGATAAACGTTCCCAGAACTTGCCTAGAAGGTGATCTCAAACACCGTTTTAATCAAATAAGATCCTTTTTATGTTTAGAAAATGAGACAAAACGAACCTGTCAAAGACTGTCTTGTAAAACGTTTTCTTATATGATTCTTCTTGTAGATCAAAACATTTTGCAGAAAGGCCAAAGAGTGTTCACATATTGTTTAAGATCGTTTTAAAAATATTTTGAGAAAACCGTTTTAGATAAATATTATACGTAATGTTCTATCAAATTCAAGGGATAAGCAGAAAATAGATTTATTGAGTTAAGCTTTTAGGACAGTGAAAATTTTGATTGAAAATAACGAAATATAATGCATATAAAATTATAATATAAAGCAAGAAAATATTTTAGAAATCTTAAGGAGAATAAAAAATCACAGAGTCAAGATTTGATATTTTTCATTAACACAATTTATCGCTTTTAATGTGTGATGGTTCAATGCGGTTTTTGAATTACATGCTACAACCATGACGCAACTGCTTCGCAACATCCAAAAAACAAAATGTGTGAACTATAACTACTTCGAATACTCTTGATGCTTACTATTGGACCCAATTTCGGCACCTATCTGAACAGGCCCAAGCCCATCTAGAGTTATCACCAACTCAACATCGAGCCGGACTCTATGAGGTTGATATGAGATCCTGGAGATGGCGGAAACAGTTAAGAGGAGGAAGGGACTATAAAAAGAGAGGTAGAGTGGAGTGCAACACACACGGAAAACCCTAGAGCTATTCACTAATCACACAACTCATTCTATAGATTTCTAGTTCGCATTCTTGTACCTTTTGTTGTTATTTCCGATCTTGTTCATCGCTTTGTAAACAAATTCCATATTCAATAAGAGTCCATTTTTGTCAACCGAAGTCCGATTATATCGTTGTGTTTAAGAGCATCGTTGCCCACATCCTTTGTCTTCCCCTGATTGAACTCTCGATCTCTACAAAATACCGAGTGTGGATTTTAGGATCTACATTTTGGCGCTGACTGTGGGGAAGAGAAACAAAAGACGCCCTTGCTAAGAACACGATCTAGGATTTCTAAGCACGATTATGGATCCCAACGCAACTAACCCCGACAACATCTGATCCGGATCGACCGACACCGCTCCCACCAGAAACCCTCTGGGAACCGTTCCGGTGTCTGTCGACCGAGAAAATATTGATCCAACCAGAAACCCTATGGGGACCGCTTCGGTATCCGTCGACCGAGCAAAAGTCGCCGAGACTACCAACACGACCCAAAGTCAACAAACTCCGCGGATTGGAACTTCGATCGTCGAAAGAAGTACGATCGCAAATCAAAATCCTCCCACTGGTCGAAGCGGATCTTAAGTGTGGAACCGTACGACAGACATAACAACTCCCGACGATTTGACTAAAGCAACGATACTGAGATCCCCGAATCAATTAGCTCGAACTCGAGACAAAATAGCGGAAATCAGAGCAATGATCGCCACGTTTATCGACAGATCTCGTGAACAAGAAACCATTCATCGAACCATCGCCAGCCGCCTGGAACAAACCGAGAGAGAAATCGCTGTGAGCCGAGCGAATCCAAGAGAAAGAGTCCAACAACAGTCAGATCCACCTCTCCAAATGCCACTCCCTTGAAATCGTGGAGCGTTCGCCTCCCCCGAAGTGGCCAGCACCCGATCAGGCCGCTACGCTGGAAATTCGATCGACGATTTCACCCAACTCCTCGGCATTCTTGAAGCAGTATTCGGTGTTTATAGAGATGCGTGCCACTGAAGCCGACATGTGGAACCTCAAGCGAGCGCCCTTCGAACCACTAAGGACCTACATAAATAAGTTCAAAGAACTAAAATCCAAAATATCGAGCCTGAAAGAAGATGTCGCGTTGGCAGCCCTGAAAAACGGAATCTGGTTTCCTTCTAAGTTTAGGGAAGAAATGACGGTCCGAGCTCCCACCTCACTCAACGACGCGTTGTATCGTGCATCCTACTACACAACCCTCGAAGAGGAGATAGCAGCCTTGAAGGAACAATACTACGCCAACAAAGGAGTAATTAAAAATCCCAGTACTCCAAAAGAACAAACTAGAAAAGGACAGAATTCCTACGCCATAGACTCGTCGTCGCAGAACAAATAGTCGACGTACGACCCAAACAAATACTGCACCTTTCACAAACGAAAAGGGCATTCAACCGAAGAATGTCGTGCAGCACTCCGCAATAAGAAAGAAAACAAATAAGGCAGCGAGAACGAAGAGGAAAAGGAGACCCCAACGACCCCGAAAGCAAAGTATAAAGGTAAAAGAGGTAGAGAGGTCGAGCCAGCAACACCAGAAACACCACCTCCCACCCCAAATAAAAGAGTCGACATGATCTTATGGGGATCCGAACGTAAAAAAGCACTAAATCGAACCGAAGAACGTGTAAGCAGCGACATCACGATGACGATATGAGGCCTGGTGGAGGTCGATCCCCTCCCCTTAGACGAACAACCAAACCACACCACAAGCCCAAAGAGAGCAGAAAGTTCAGTAAAATCCGGAGACTACTGGAGAAACCGATACATAAAACAGTACAGCCCGTGTTTACTCAAATCCAACCTGTCTGGGGAGCAAGAGCACTACCAGCCGAGACTGACCAAAAAATGGAGATAAAATCTCTAAAACTTAGATATCATAAATCCGTGATTACATGCAGAGCATTTTACAAAAAGAAAGAGGCGAAAAGAAAAACATAATACTAGATATCCGATTTAAAATAAAAAGGGGATAAAACTAAGAATCAGCTCCGTTCTCGGAAGAATATTCTGCAACAACCGAATCGCTAAAAACCATCGGGGAAATCTAGGTCTGCGACGGACAATTCCGCAACGGCAACCAACTCGACAAGCCCTTCACAATCCTTCTCCATCTCTTTGAGACGAGCCAACTCATCGTCGATGACCAGTCCACCGTCCTTGATCTCACTCAGCAGGTCGATGTTTGCACCACCTCCCTTAGCTGGATCTTCGCGTCGACCTCCTTCTTCTTGTCCAGCCACTTCTTCTCCATGGGAGACAAGATCTCTCTGCAGCGATCGGCGATCTCACGACGCATCACACGAGACTCGCGACAGATGTCTCGCTCTCTCTCCGTAAGAAATTCTGTGACCATCGTCTTTTGGATGGAAACCTCAGTCTCAAATACCATCCTTTCCTCGCGGGCCTTTCTCCACTCGTCCTTAAAATAAGTAGCTTCTCCGATCTTCATCTTGAGATCCTCCTTAACTTTACGAAGACATTCTTCGAGACACTTCACCTCAGCCCGCGACCTCGCCAGATCCCTCTCGTCTCGACCCACAAACATCGTGACGAACTCATTGACAGCAACCATAACCTACAAAGCACCAGAAACATTAGAACAAGATCAATCGCAAAAAATACTACAATGAATAATATAACTCACCTTGGAATTGGCATCCGCGATCTTGGGATACACCTCCATTTTCTCAAGAGAAGCCGGAGGTAGAACAAAAGGACTCAAAGCTGATCTATTCCAGCTCTGAAGCGATGAACGGCGACGCTTATGGTCACTAGCAGCAAAGTTCTCCTATGAGTCAGCACTCAGGGAGATCGGAGATCCTCCCCTTCAGAGGTCCCTCAACGTCAGAGACCAGAATAGGGATCAAGGTCGAATCCTCGGGATCCCGGTTCTCCGCGACATGATTCCGGATCCTGAACAATGACCTCCCAACCAACTGCATGTTCGATCTAGCAGAAGAAGGAGGAGCATTAGAAGGTTCCGCGACATCTTTTAGCCTCATCGAGTTTCTGGCAATCGCCGGAGCCTGATTGGGCCCATCAGGTAGCAAGAAGGCAGCGTAGATTTGCTCTCTGTCAAAGGACGAACAATCTGGGCGATCTGGCTGTAACATCCTCAGCAGGCCTCGGATCTCGACCGACATCGAAGAGTTCCCAGAAGGCACTAGAAAGCCATAAAACAAATTTGACAGTCAGATATTAAAAGATTAAAAGAAGTGTATGCGATAAAAAAAAACAGAACCGACCTATATCATCAGACCAAAGTCGAGGAATCCTCGCGAATTCGAAATCATTTATTGATGAATGATCGACCTTGAAGACGAAAAACTTCTCTCGCCAAACTTGGTCACGTTATGGAACCCCTTGGATAACATGGCGTCCTACACATGGTGACATAAGGAAATTTCCCGGGCTTTGATTGTTCCTCTTCAACAAGCACAAGTGGCGAAGCTCCTCCAGACCAAAACGCAAGCCCTCCTCGCGAGCTCTGACCACGAGTGCCAAAAGATGCCTCAAGAAATTCGGGCACATCTGAGTAAGACACATACCTAATTCAGCTGCGATTTCAAGAATTGGGGCAGGAAGCGGAGAGAAAAGACCACAAGATTCGAAGAACGTGATATACGCTCCGCAAAACCCCTCACAAACGGTCTCAAGGGGTCTCGAGCGTAGTAGCCATTTCGAGCTGGACGCCCCGATCGACACCATGAACCTAGTATAAGGTTTCAAGATCTTCAGCAGTAGTCGTCGAAATAGGAAAAGTGAATGTTACATCCATCTTTACTTAAAGAGAGAAAAGTGCACAAACAAGGAACTTTGGAGAGAAAGAAAGAAAATTCCAGATAGAAAGAAAGGAAGTTAGGAGAGAAAGAAAAGCCTCTTGTATTTATAAGACAACTCGCCGACACTAAGAAACGGCTTTATCATTAACGAGGAGATACTGATTAGGTTTTGCATCGAAAACGGCACAAGTAGCCATTGGGGACACACGCCAACGGTCCATCGACAGGGAGCAGAGACGCGTCGAGTTTCTGCGCCATGGAAGCTAAACCGCCTTCTATCAATTGAGTCCGAGCAAGCCATCTTAACCTTTTAAAAGAATAATACTGGGGAAAAAATGTTGGACTCAATTTCGGCACCTATTTGAGCAGGCGCAAGCCCAACTAGAGTTATC